ACATAGTACATACAGTTTAACTCCGAGGTACTAATATAATACATTTTGAGAAAATTTCAGATTTATATGTCTGTTTGTTGAGACTCCCCTCCACCAAAGAACAGGGTGTATGTGGTCAAGTTATCGATTTTGAAATATCTAAACTGTCAAAAACGCACCATTTTGGTTTTTCGTGATTATTGTAAAAACCAAAAACATGTGATAAAATGTAATGACAGATCTAAAATGATATTCCATACGATTTCAATTTTTAGTAATAAATGTCTATTTATTGTTTTAAATGCCCTCTGGAAATTCAACTTTTTAATCATTAAAATGATTAATTAATTTTTGTAAATTCAGATATAAATTCACCACAAAATTATAGAATGTATCCTCAAACAACCATCCTGATACCTGAAGGACCAATTAAGGTATGGCCAATTTGATCCTAGCTCAGGGCAAGTGGACTTTTAAATTTTCATTAGTTTGTTTTCACCTTGGAGCTTTGTGGATACATTTCATAATTTTGTAAGGGTAATTTGGGAATATATTTCTGAATTTTCAAAAATTCATTTTAGATTCGTATTTTTACTTTCGTCTGTAAAAAATATTAAATAAAGTCAATTTATAAATTAATTAAGTTAGACCATTTTGTAAAATAAATAGAAATACAATTATTGTGAAAACCCTACTTCATATGAGCCTTAACAACACACATATTTTTAAACAAAATTTGGTTTAATCTAAAAATATAACTTTTTTGGTTTCAACTGTAAAGAAGCAATTACTAACATTTTCAGTGTCGTTTTGACTTACTAGAAAGAAAAAATTTATATATTTTATAATTTAAAGCAATTAATTTATTTTGACATTAAAAAATGCTGACAAATTTGGAACAGCTATTGTTTATTTCACATTTTCATTGTTATCAGTATGGCTATGACTAGGTGTGTATAGATGTAACGGGCCAACAACGGGCCAGGTTCGTCAGATTTGTACGGTGTCGTATATCTACCGCGCGATGGAAGGCAAACGGGTCTAGTTTAATCCTATTTGGCCCGGCCCGTGGTAGGCCCGTTGGTTTCCATCGCGCGGTAGATATACGACACTAGGGTGGCCCTTATTTTTCAAAGTTGCGCTACCCCACAGTTTGGTGCCATTGCATGAAAAAAAAATTTGTCTTAAATTTGAGATCAATCGGATAAAGGGAAAGGGTGCCCCAAGGACCTTGAAAAACGAAAAATCATAGAAAAACAGAAAAATATCCATTTTATTTATTTATTTTGTTAAATATTAATTATATGCAAAAAAGTGTTACATAAAAGTTGGAAATCTATAAAAAAAATGTAAAAATGTTTTTTTTTACTACAAATCGTGAGGCAGAGATAAAGTCTCTTTTTTATAGCCTGGAAATTTTTGGCGATAATCACTTACAATCTGAAGCACATACTGATTTTGTTGTTCGTTTTTCGTAAATAATTTATTATAATCTTCCATAAGCTTCACCCCTCTCTCAGCCGAATCATTTACAACTTTCAATTTATTCACTAATTCCAGACCTTTTACAAAACATTCATTTTGATGCCACGTCGACGGATCTGTCATAAGGAATTCATCATCCAATTCAAATCTTTTGAAAAATTCTCTAGTTTCGGAGGAAACGAATTGTTCAATTCCGTCGTTGATAATTTGTGGGATTTCATCGATTTGTATTTGTTTTCGCTTCTCATTTTTGATTGATAATTCTGTTTCGCGATTTAAAGCATTGACCATTTTTATTTTCGATTCAAATGGCACATTTGGATCAAAGAAAGCTAATGCGACCACTTCAGGGCTTAAATACCATAAATGATTGCTTAGTTTTTGTAAAGCAACTTGAGAGATATCACGATCGATAGCTTGATATGCAAAAAGTTTTGCAAAAAGAACCGTGAAATCTTGATACGGTGCTTTGGCAGCAGAAGGCGCACAAAACCATGCTTCGATATACACACAATAAAAATACAAATATCACAAAGTGCATTTTGTTCTGTTTCTGATAATAAAAATTCATCACGAAACAGGAAGATTTTTAAGCAATAAATAGCTTTTGCCATCCACCTCGCATGATGGAAGGCTCCGGGAACACGAAAAGATATTCCACGAGGGGGTGTTTCGCCAAGAAAAATAACGATTAATTCTAAAAGTTCCCTATAATCCTCTCTAGGCTGCTGTTCGCCTAAAGTATTTCTAACAAAGTCAAGAATTCGAGATATATCGCCCTGATTCAAGTTTCTCGCGACCTTTTCGTTTTCAATCCCAGATCGGAAATTATAAACATTGATTTTTGGCCAAGCGTTTTGAAATTTCTTAAACATTAAGACAGTCGGGCTTGTAGTTTTACCCATCTTTTTTTCGAAAACGCTTCTAAGAATAATTTCATACACGTGATGCAAAATACAAAAGATTTTTTTCATATTTTCTATTAAAACGCATGCACATCTAAAACTTCCAGTTTTCGTTGCTGTCGTATCGAAAACGGATGCTTTAATATAATCCTGGAGACCCCATTCATCGAGAGTTTCATAAACAGCAGATGCCTGCTCTTTTCCAGTTCCAGATTGCAATACAGGCACTCCAAGAAGTTGCTCTGTATCGCCGTTAGAAAGAATCACCGGAAGTCTATCAACGATCTCTTTACCTGTTAATGCTGGAAGTAATTTACCATCCCAATGCACGACAGCAGCTTGTAATTTAGTGTCTTTGAAGTACTTTTTAATTTTAGATGCCTTCTCTTTGCGTATTTTTTTTCTATAAAAATGAATGGAACTTCTGTTTATGATAAACTCCTGGACATCAAGATCCAATGCCTCGATTGTAGCAATCAGAATATGAACTGCACCCCTGTCAGAAATTTTACATTTATCTAAAGCCGCACATAGCTTAGTTGTCATTATGTTACGAAATCCTCTCTTCCTTTTTGCTCTTGGTGATTCTGATAAAAGGGATGCAAATTCCATATCTTCTGGGGAAGTATGTTATATCACAATATTATCAGTGGATGTTCCAGCAACTGGTACTACACTCACATCTGATTCTAAATTGCTGCTTGAGGTTGAGACCAATTCGGCAGTTTGCACTTAAAAACAAAAGAAGAGATTTATTGATATGAAATCAAAAAAATTAACAATAACAAGCAAAAAATTTCCTGTATGGAATATAATTAAATTTTGCATACTTACTCATTTGTTCAACTTCACGATCGCTTTGCTCTTTTCTCATCACGTCTGCCTCTCTTCGTTCCATAATTCTTGTTTCTCTTTTTGTTGTTATTTTAAATTCCTTGAGATCGATTCCGTACATAAATCCTGGCCGTCCCTTTTTCCTTTGATTAATTAAAAATTGTTTATCTTCAATAGAAATCATGTTCAAAGCGTTAGCATGTGCAATGTCAAAAAGATCATCGAGTTTCGATATAAACTTTTCTTATTTTTTTTCTCAGTCTTCGATAGTCTTCCAGAGTGTTTTTGAAGTTGTCTCCATTCTTGGTACATAGTTTCTAATTTTGGTATATAGTTTATCATCTCCTGAGATGGAATTCGTACCTTTTCCCAAAAAAATAGCACTTCTTTTAAAACTAGTCTGGCGCTTTCACGTAAAGTTAACTTCACTACCCGAAGATTACAAAATAATACACTTAATACCTGTTTATTTGATGGCAATTTACATCCAGTTATTTTATGCGAGTAATGCCCGAGTAAATAAATTTTTTCACGTAAACGAGTAGAAGTAGAACACACCGTGACGTGAAAACTTGCTCTCACTCAGCAAAATTCCAGTAGAGAACTGACTCTCGACCTGTTGAGACAACTTTGAGCCACCACACGTTGCCTTATCCCCTCTTTTTTATTTGGTTTGTCACACCCCGCTTTGGTAAAGCGTTTATTGTTGATTTATAGACTTTCGTTCTGTGTTACAGAGCGTGGATTTGTAGCAAAAGAAGTGATTTTCAGTGCTAGATCCAAAAATGTATTTTTTTTATAGATCTAGAACTTTTGTATAATACTTTTTTGCATGTAATTAATATTTCTCAACATAAGAAATAAAACAGATATTTTCGATTTTCAAGGCTCTTGGGGCACCCTTTCTAGTCCAGGATCCGTAAGTAAGGTCGACCTTCACCCATCTGTTTAATGGATAAAAGTTTTTTTTATTAAACAAAATATGTTTTTAAATATACCGCAAATGGGTTGCCTAAGAAAATACGGTCAGGGCCATTTTTTGCTTTCGTTTCTGTGTACAGATAAGGAAAGTATAGGAATCATAATAAAAGTTGCTCTATTATTTTGTCCCTATACATAATTTCCCTAAAATGGACCTAATTCGAGATATTTGAGGAAAACTGCAAATTTCGAATTTTGAAGACAACCCAAAAACGGATAAAGAGAAAAACACCAAATTTTAAACTTAAGCTTTAATCTATCCTGCGATAAGCTGATTAAAGTTAAAGCATTGTCGGAGCATCTGGGGAATACTTTACAGGGTGTCGTTTTTTTTATTTTAAGAAAATAAATAGTCTGGACCGTATTTTCTTAGGCAAACCTTTTGCGCTATATTTATAAAAATATTTTATTTAATAAAAAGAAACTTTCATCCATTAAACAGATGGGTGAAGGTCTACCTTACTTCGGATCTTAGACTATTCCCTTTATCAGATAGAGCTGAAATTTTGCACAGATTTTTTTTCCTCTAATAGCACCAAACGGGGAGGAAGCGCAAAAAAAATAATTCTTTTTTTTTACCAAGAGTAACTAAGGGCCACCCTAATACGACACCATATAAATCTGACGAAACTTGGTCCTTTGTTGGCCCGGCCCGTTATATCTATATGCAGTTTTGTAATAAAAACAAACACAGTATTTAGCTTGTTCTATTGTTGTCAGGATTAAACAAAAAATAGTTATACATTTGTATTAAAACCATTTTGTTTGATTAGGGTTCGTATAGGTAGTTTTCATATTTTGGTATTTATTTTTTAGGGTAAATCCATGTAAGCATCCCATTGTTATACTTCCAGATGTAAATTATAATGCACTTTGTGGTTTGTTACATTTTATGTACCAAGGAGAGGTTAGTGTAAGTCAAGAAGAAATACCAACATTTATGAGAGTAGCTGAAATGCTTAAAGTTAAGGGCCTGACTGATAATAGTAATTCACCAACGCCATCCGTAAGTAAAAATTAGGGATTCAAAATCAAATTTAACTTTACCTATATGAAAAAAATCTTATATATTCAGTTTGTTAAATTAGTAGATAAAATGAAAATTTATAATTCATACTCAGTACAAAAAAATTTTTAGGAGACCAATGGTTATACAAACAGCACCAGGGGCCCTTTCGGTTATACAGATCAGAGACAAAATATAATGAAGAGACCTAGACCTGTCAAAAAGATTATTAGGCCCATACAACATCTGAGACCAATAGAGAGTCCAAAATTGCCCAAATCGCCTCAACCTCAATCACAACATCAACAAGTAAGATAAAAGCAGGATAATTATTTAAAAAAAAACTTAAATTATTTTTTAGTCTCATTCTCCAACAGTATTGGTACAACCACCTCCAAATAAAAAGGCTTTAATTGAAAATGATAATCTGCAAATTCCCCCATCTGCAGCATCTCCACTAACTCTTCCTAAACCTGACAATTTTCTAGAGCCTCTTTTAAAACCTAAACTCGAGCCTATAGAACAACATGATGAAGAAAATACTTCTCATTCAGGTAAGGACAATGACATAATCCACAAAGGCATAATATACAAATTCAACCCGTTTCTTATTGATTTTAAAATATGGAAAATATTTTAGGAGAAGATCCAAATATTGAATTACCTAGTATCGAAAATTCTCAAGGAGAACCTTCACCTCTACATCCATTTCCTTCTTGGCAGCCTTTTGACGCTCCTCCGCCACCTTCGCAAGACTCTTCATCACCTGGTAAGTATATTCTTCATTTTGCACCGGTGCTTATGTTAGTCATATGGAGGATTGGAATATCCTATGTTCATTTTAAAACTAAATAAATTTCAGAATTTCAACTAGCCTGGAAAACTTCTTGAAATACTATCTTTTAAAACAAAACATATAAAAACCGTATTATCATAAACTAATTAGTTTTAAAATGAACAGAATTGATAGAAATATCGCTAATAGCAAGTAGTTGGTTAATAGCTTTTATCTACAACTATTGCATAATATATTTCCATTACTTATATGATCTTCGACAGGTAGTACTATTCATTACTATTGAATTGAATAAAAATGTCAGTATGGTCGAATAATATTATTAATACTCAATATTAAGTCAAATGACAGGTGCTTCAGTACAAAGTAATTTATAAAGCGATCTATTAGGTTCATAGTTACAGATCAAGTTTAGTGTATTCTTCTTGTGTACAGTGGCTATTATCAACCTTCAGATGATTACATTATTTGCCTGTCGTTCATGCTCGAAATTCATCTTCATGATTATAATTATATACTAGCTATACTGGTTATTACTGTCAGGCACGTATACAGTGCTGACAAGATCAAACCTTCGGTCCAGCTTTGCCTGTATTGGAATGAATACTAAATGTTGTTTGCAAATGCAGAAAAAGAAACGAAATGTTGCATTTTAAAGCTGTAGTCGTGGGTCGGTCTTGGCTACCGATCGTTAAATGGCAACGACGTTAATACATCCTTTTCTGTACATTCGAACGCAAGTTTCTATTCAAGCAGAACCTAAGCTTTAATCTGGCCAGCACTATTTTTCTTGGAGAGGTACACTTAAGTTAATCTGTAGGAAGAAAGAGTGTGAGAAAGGGGAGGAGTAGAGGTTAAAGTAAAATGACTTTATTTTTGTCACAGAACAATAAATGTAATTAAACTCCTTAACAATAAAGACACAAAAATATTGTTTTGCGACAAAAATATAAGCACACCAAATATCTAGATTCAGATGAATATATATTTTTTTAAAGTGGAAGCTATGTATTCCAATGTTTGAAGGTATAAATACTTCCGAATTCTTTCTGATTAGACCGATTTGGATGAAAATTTCTAAATAAGCGTATCTTACCCCCCTCTTAAAAATTTATATGTTGCTAATGTGCGCTTTTTATTTTTAGGGGTTTAAAATTACCCGTTTTGACGAAAAATTTGAAAACCATATAGTTAAACGTTGCTTGGTTTAAAATCATGTCAAAATATTAAAAAAATATATACAGAGTGTTGGTATATCCGACTGACAACGCTCTACTACAGGAAATTCTCGTTGATCAATTTTGATATAGGGACATGAAGCCTTTAAGGACTTAAATATCGAAGTATATGGTATTAAAAGTTTTAAATCAAAATTCAAAATTTGTCATAAATCAAAAACTTAAATATTTTTTTCAAATTTGGTATACTAAGATCATAGATCTCAGAAACCCTAGATACAACATCGAGAACAAAATGTTGACCCCATACATGCTGGGCACCATCATAACTGAATTTTAAGGTGGCAAGACAGGATCGGCGCCAGGTTACTGTAGAAGATATAAGGAAGGAGTAACTTTTCATGTGAAACTTTTCACAAATATTTGTCTTCTTAAAAAAATCTTTTTTTATGGTTTATTGTATACCATACCAAATCATTTTCAGATTTAATGGTTGACAGCTATAGAGAAACCATTAATTGATATGTTTTTGAAATTACACCTAAAATGTCACGTTTCGCGCATGCATTGGTCGACCGCGAAATACTGCTTTGGTCGAGTCGGCCAGAAAATTGCAAAATCATTTCATTAGGAAAACAATAAGCGCCCAATGAAATAAATCGACTGTCAAAGTGATTCCATGCAGTCGTGGCTTGCTTTGTTTTATATTTTGAAATAAAATTTCAACTTATATGGAATTTTTATTAAGGATTTATATGGTAATAGTTTACGTTTCAAAAAATATTTTAGAAACTTCGTGCGTGAAGAATCTTCACGAATTTGCATAACTTGAAGCTTCTTCGTCGATCATGCTTCTAAATGCGCTTATTCCTGTGAATATAGTCTTCTCGCGCTTGAGTAGTAAATAACACATGAGAATAAATTCCGGAATAATACCGTCTCAATATTTTTCCAACCAACTAAATATACCTGTTTTCCCAATCAGAATCAAATAATAATATACCTACAGGGTGACCCATTAAGAATGGGACATGGAGCAACTGAAGATTTTCTGATTAAAAATAAGACGTATAAGCGAAACATGCTTTGGTAAAATGTTACTCGTTTCCGACATACAGGGTGTTATAGTTGAACATTCAAAAATTATTAATGGCTAGGTATAATTTTACTAAATTCGGCCAACGTTTTTAGTGTCATAAGATACTTTTATTAGCAAAAATCAATTAACACGTTAAATGCCAAGCAAAAAGCACATTATTTTATGTAGGGCCAATGACGACAATACGTTTATTGGGCTTATAATTTAACTTTCCATGCATTTAAAATAAAAATATTTTTTGTTTTTTTCGTAGTTTTTAGGGGTTCTAGTAAAATACTACTGTGGCGCCGCTGGTTCTTTGATCTTGATTTGCGCGGCAATAACGTTCAGCAGCGAAAAATAATACTAGCTTGTGTTTTTGTTTGGTATCACTGGTTATAGGTTATACTTGATTTTAATATATACTTTTTTCTTATTCAATTGTTTTATTTACTAGTGGGACCAGACCATACAAAACAATGCTCATAAATATTTTCTCTGATGCCTGGCTGGTCTAAACACTATCATTACATTATAAAATGGGCCAGCGGCTCCACTCCTAGTGAAAGCCTGCTGGTCCCATAGGACCAGCATGGTGGGAGCAGCTTGACAGTCAACGTGTTAAATAAAATTTGACAGTATCATGCAGCGTTTCTTTATTTTAATTTATTTTGAAATTTTAGTTTTTAACAAGAGAACACGATTTATTAAAAAAAATCAAAAAATTAAAAATTATATTCCAAATAAGTTTTTGGACAGTGGCGTAAAATTTAGAAGGGAGAAGGTGTTACTTGCGCATGCCGTACGCCATTGGCAAAGTAGTTGATTTTTTTTGCTGATAGGTGTATCTTGTGCTGAATTTAGTCAAATTATACTGAATAATAAAAGAATTATAGCCATTAATAATTTTTGAATTATTAACTATATCACCTAAGCATATCCCATTCTTAATAGGACATCCTGTATATATCAAGTAATTACCTCATGCCATCTTACGATTTTGATAGAAACCTTCTTTCCTGGTGTGAAAGCTGAGAACTGTCTATTGTTGCAAACACTCGAGAGGAACGAGAAGAGTGTTTTTGTAACACATGTAAGATTTGTATTGATGTTTGATACTATGCTGTTATTTTAATATTTGTTTGTGCTTTAAATCAAGAATAAAAGAGTATTTAGAATATGTTTGTAAATTGAGTTTTTGTGATGCAATTCTCGCAAAATAACACAGAAGCAATCAAGATTAGGCCTTCATCTCGGTTTAAATTTAAAATAATCAAGACATCAATGACAACCAATAATTATAACGACAATGTGGTTGTAGGCATAGAAAAAGAAAAAAAATGTTGTAGGTACCCACAATTCATAATAGGTATCTAACCAAGTTCAGGAATTGTATCATCAGCTGTTGATGAGATTTGAAATTCTCAACTTGAGAATAATTGAAAAAATGGATAATTTATTTTTCAGTAAAGAGGAAGTGAGTTTTGTTTCATTTTATTTTCCTTTTTTTGTCCGATTTACTTATTTTTTTAATACTTAGTAAAGGCTATAAAATCCATTTGTAGACGATGTGCTGAGAAAAGGGTTCACATTTTCAGTTATGTAATTATATAGCTTTAATTCACGTTCATTTTAAATAGAATTAGTTTAGTTACACAGTACTCCTAAGTTGGTGCTTATTTCTACAGTTATCTTTAAAACAAAGACATATTTATCCAACTTTCACCGACAGATTAATTCACTTATAAAGTAAGAATTAATCTACCTTGGAACAGTTTTCTAAAAATAACTTTGGTGTTAAGAAAATCCATGATGAAGTATTTGTTTTAATAACCAACTGTTTTCTTTTTTATTATCACATTAATATCTAATATACATGGATGATACAATCAGTTTAGTATTAAACCGAAAGAAACTTTTTAATATAATACTTATAATTAAATATATCTCCATTGCTGAACATTTAATTAAATTATATAATTTTCTTTGGAATTCATTTATTTATAATTGGAGTGTGTGCAAACAGCATTTCAAGAACGAGAAACTTTAAAAAACCGGTTCTGGTTGGACAAAACTTGTCGAAGTTTTGTTCCTAATTTTAACCTAGGCTTTATTCATCTCACTCACTCACAAATAATAAAGTGCATCTTGTCAGTGTTCACCTTGTCAGTGTTCACCTATTACAGAACACAAAAACTAAAAATGAGTGTAGACAAAACATAATCTAGTTAACATGGCGCCAGCATGAAGGGGATCATTTTATTGTATTGACAGTATACCTTTAAAGGTATCTAAAATTGTAGAAATACCCAAAGTCCTCTGACAAAAGACAGTTTGCACGTGTCTTCTTATTTCAGTTGCACTTTGTTGTTGCTTAGCAGCTTAAACTTTTTTAAGGTGCCTTTACACGAATCACTTTGAGTCACTTTGAAAGTCACTTTGAAAAACAGTAAGATTACGTTTTACATTTTTTCTACAAATAGTGGAACAATTTACGTTTGTGCTTTATAAATACATTTCCCAGCTAAAAATGTTTTTTAGAGGTTTTAAAGATAATCCAAAACAAGTGCAAATTCGTGAAACAGATTCTTTGTTAAAACATCTATGAACAACAAAAAAGTGAAATACATAATCATATAATAATAATAATAATAATATTATAATCATTATTAATAATATTATAATCATTATTAATAATATTATAATCATTATTAATA